CAGGACCAACAGGGTCGACTCCAAGCGAGCCAAACCGCAAGCCGGCACTGTGAGACCAACACACTGAAAGCTTCGAGGAGATGCAATAAAGCCGACATGCGCGAAAGCAGGAACCACCACTGCAGGATCAGGCCTTACTGGCGAATGCAGAAACAGGAAAACACCCAGATTCACCCGTTCTACGGCCAATGGCGAGAAACAAAGGCCTGGCCGTGACAACCCTGTGGCAAGAGTGACTGGGCCGGGGCAACTGGACGATTGCAGTGCAACAGAAGTATCGACATGCATAAACCCTAACACGAAAGCCGCAAGACCCAGCCGACCAGGGCTACGTGACAATGAGAGAGGATCGAGTTGCAAATTTCCTGGCACCGAAGGTGCGCTGCCAGCTCGAGCAATGCTCCATGCAGGAGTGCTCGCACCTGAACAACTAGAGCTGCGGAGTGCCACTGGCATGTCCAATTCATTGGGGCCTAGCAGAGGCACCAAAGCATCAATTTGGCCAGGACTTTGAGGGAAGGGCGAGAGTCCCAGGTGAAGACTTCCCACCACAGACAGGGAGGACACAGGGTCTGGCCGTGACATCCCCACCATTGGCAGCAAACTATCAGCACAAGACATTGCTTGCAGGAGCATGAAAGATCCCGATGCGGCGAGGGCGAGGACAGGAAGGAGTAAGCCAACACATGCCATAGATCTCGATGACAGCAAGAAGCCCAAGCACAAAGAATCAGTAGTTGACAAGAGAAGGCCCAGGTTAGCGAAGCTTTGAGGAAGTGGCGAGGGATCGAGATGCAGAAGACCTATGACTAACGGGAAGGAGACGAAGCCCGGTTTGCTTAAACCACTCAGCAGCACCGGAGGTCCCGACTTTGAAGAACTTCGCGAAAACAGGAAGAACCCTGACTCGATGAAGCTGAGGGTCGGCGCTGAAGCTCCCGACTGTCCGAGGGATCTAAGAGAAAGGAGTGCGTCCAACTTCGCGAAGCCCAAAGCAAGCACCGCAGAACCCAAGCAAGTGCGACTTTTGAGAGGTGGACTCGGGCCAAGGTAGGCTTTGTCAGCCACGAAGGGCAAGAACACAAGTCCAGCGCGCGCGGTGCCCAACGAAGAAGCCAAGGAGTCTGAGCGAGCAGAGCTTCTTGGGGACATCGCAGTATCTGTCTTAGAGCAGCCCGCCACGGACGAGTTGAAGCCTGAGCAGGCGAAATGCCTCGCAGGCGTGGCTAGCCCTGGATGAGCAGGATTCAACGCCGACGAGGCTGGATCATGGCAGGAGGAGCTTCTCAGAGATGGCAGCAGTTCCAGGTGCGTTGCGTCTGCCACGAGCAGAAGGAAGACCAAGCCCATGCAAGCGGTGCCGGTGGCAAGCACCACGGATTCTAGGCAAGCAGAGGCTCTCAAGGACGTGGAGCTGTCGAGCTTTGCAAGCTGATACGCAAACATCAAAGCATCAGCTCAGAGGAGGCTCCTGGGGAACAGAGAAACCCCTACATTCCCCACATCCGGAACCGGCATCAGCAAACCCAAGCGGCTCGTCATAGAGGCCGGCGCAGCTGGATCTGGACGCGCATGACTGCGTGGCGTAGGTGGCAAGTCGGGTCTGAAAGTCCTGAAGGCTAGCACGGCTGGGTCTGAACAAGCAGAGCTGCGGGGGAGCAGCGGTGGCTCCAAATGTGCAGCCTCGACCACAGAGAGTGAGAAGACCAATTCAGCGCACGCTAGGCCAAATAAGGATGCTGTGCTTCCCATTCAGCCAAGGTTGTGTAAAGACATCTGGACATCTGAATGTGAAAAGGCAGTGGCTGGTGCAATGACGCCTGACCACGAGAAGCTTCGGACCAGCAAAGACAAGCCAAGGCAGTTCGCCTCGGCGACCGAAGGCGAGGAGATTAGGCCAAGGCGCGCGATTCCGAACGCGGGCACGGTGAAGCCAAGCTTTGAGAGGCTATGGAGAGCCGGTGGAAGGCCTGAGGCAGAAAAGCCAAGTATTGAAAGCAAGCTGCCCGTGCAACCACGGCTTTGCGGCAACAGCAAGGACTCAGGGTGAACTGCATCAGCCGCCGACGATGAGGAGCAGGAGCCGACTCGGGTCATTCCAGGTACAAGAGCGACGAAGCCAAGTTGAAGAAGTGACCGTAAAGGCAGCAAACTGCCACAGGAGCTCAGGTCGGTTGCGAAGAGAGCAAGGCCCGGGCAGCTGGAAGATCGAAGCAAAGTCGGGAAACCCACACTTTTGCTACCCAGAGCCGCTGGCAAAGGGCCTGGCCGAGCGCATCCGGACACCAGAACGAAAACGCCGGGACGTGAGAGCGCGCGAGGGAACAGGAAAGCTTCTAGATGGCAGAATCCGCAGGCAGGTAAGGATGCCCCTACCCTTGAGGAGCTTCGCAAGGAAGGGACAGTTCCGAGGTGCTTGAACTCCGCCACCGGCAGGGAGGAGATGAAGCCAACCCATGAAAGGCCAGAGAGCAAAATGGTCGAACCAGACCATCCCATTTCTCGCAGCGAGGGCGCGGAATCGACGTGCGCAGAGGCAGGAACAAACACTACGAGGTCTGCATAGCCAGAGCTTCGAAGAAACGACGCAGACTCTGTGTCACACTTGCCCAGCACCAGGATTGAGACCTCCGGTCGTGAGAAAGAGCATGGTAATGCTAGGAGTTCAGGATGTGCGAAGCTTCGCGACGAGAGTGATGATTCCGAATCCGTCACCTTTGGAGCTGATGGTGACAGGCCTGCGCGGGCAGAGGACTGCAGGAGCAAGCTTGGCCCGGGACTTGCGGAGCTCACTACGAACAGAGCGAAGAGCGGTCCGAGTCGGAACATTCCAAAGGCCAGCAGAACGGTTTCGGCCCGAGACAGTTGCTGTGACAACATGGGAAGGCCCGGTTGTAAGATGTCAGTAACCGGCAGAAAGCTGGCGAGGCAGGAAATGCTCCTGAGTGGCGGCGGAAAGCCCAGTGTAGCTTTTTCAGTCACGGACAGCAAGGAAACGGGGCCCAGTCTGATGCATCCACAGGCAGGTGCTGCACTTCCCGGTCGAAGAAAGGATCTCAGAGGCATGGAACTCTCTGGCTTTGCCGTGTCCAAGGCCAGGACCGCGAATCCAAGTCAGGCAAGCTGTTGTATGGGCAGCAAACTGTCGAGAGTTGCAAAACCCAGTGCTAACATCACCGAACCGAGACGACACTGGCCTGCCGGCAAAGCCGCACTTCCAAGACGGGCAAGGGCTTGAAGGAGAGTCGACGGGCCAAGTTGCATTAAACCCGACGCGGAAAGAGGGCTGTCAGCGCGGGCGGACTCACGAACAAGCAGGGAAGCACCAAGGTGGGCATGGTCTGTCACTGACAACTTGAAGACGGAGCCTGATCAAGCTGCGCCGAATGCAAAGGCCATGGACTCGAGGTAAGCACGAACTCTCATCGGAACCACTGGGCCGGACGAACTGGCAGACAAGACGAGCAAGGATCTTCCCAGCTTTGTGGAACTTCTTGAAAGCAGCGAAACTTCCAAGTGCACGGAACTTGCGACAGAGAGCAAGAAAACAAAGCCAACCCGAGTGATGCCAAACAGCACTGCCAAGGATCCCACCTGAGCAGGTCCCCGCAGCAGTGGGGCGCTGCCCACATGCCCAAGTTTCGTTACAGACAGTGCTGCTTCCGGTCACGTAAGGCTCTTTGATGGCAAGGCTGGACCGAGTCCAGTGCCACCCGACGCAAGTAAGCTTAACCCAGGCCGAGCCAGAGAGAAGACCAAGACCGGGAAGTCAACACGCGCCGAGCCTCGCAGAAGAAGAGTGGAACCGACCGAAGCACGGAGGGGGACAGGTGCCGAGAAGCCCAGGCGAGCAAAGGATCGGAGTGGAATCTGCAAGCCAAAGTTGATGTAATCCGCGATGGACACCGTCTCGGCGTAGTTCAGCTTGACAAAGCCGAAGACCGGCAGGTTGGGACCGAATCGGCCAACTGCACGCAGCGACAAGCATGAGCCAGATTTCCCAAAGTTCAGCGCAAAAACTCGCAAGCCCAGGCGAAGGCGGCTTTGGGTCGAAAGTGGAGACCCAAGTTGGGCTCTATCTGCGGCTGGCAGCTTGAAGACGGATCCCAGACAGCTCAGACCGAAGACAGACGCGAGAAGGCCGGGACAAGCCATGCAACGGAGAGATAATGAAAGTTCGACCTGTTGAGAGTCCGAGGGTGGTGACGCAAAACCAAGGCACACTAAGCTGCGTGCGGGAATGGCGAGGCCGAGGTTCACTGCGTCCAGAGCCACAAGGCGCACCCCCGGACGCGCAGTGGAGAAGACCAAAGATGCAGGGCCCGTCCGAGCCAAGCTTTGCGATGGAGGTGGCGGGCCAATACGCGCGTGGTTAAGGGCAGACGATGCTGGTCCTGGTCATGCAGGCGAATGTGGCAACATTGAAGGCTCAAGCGTTGAGAAACCAAGCACGGACACCACGGCATCCACGCAAGAAGAGCTTCGCACTGACAACGGAACATCGAACTGACTCACGTCGATAAGTGACAGAGAAAAACAGCTTTCCAGACAGGCTAGCCCGGATGCTAGGACTGTCGCTGCCGGCTGCGAAGGACTTCGTAGGGGAAGGGGGGGGTCTGGGTGGCTTTCTCGCAGAACTGGCACTGACAGCTCTGGACAAGCAGAACTTCTTATCACAATTGACAGGCCGAGGTTGCCACACTGACAAGCAGACAAAGGGCTGCCTGGCCACAGAACACCACAAACGAGTAAAGTCAAGTCAGCTCAGACAATGGTTTGCAGCAGCAAGGTAGGACCAGGCTGGAGAAAGTCGAACATTGGCGGGGACACATCCAGCCAAGTGGGGCTCCTCGAAAGAAGCGGCGAACCCAACCGCGAGAGGTCCAGGACCAACAAGGAGAAAGCACTACCCACTCGACCGATGCCAGGTGTCGCAGCCGGTGCACCCACATGAGCATAACTTCGTAGAGGCAACAGGGCTTCTAGCTTTGAGAGTCCCGATGCCAACAAGGCTGAACCCAGGTGCGAACGACTGCGCAAGAGTAGGGAGAAGCCCAGCTTGGAAGCATCCACCACAGACAAGCTGAAGATCGCCTCAAGTCAAGACAGTCCGGACGGTGGTGTTGGAGCCTCCAAACAAGAAAGACCATGGAGCAGCATCATTGTGTCCGAATCAGCGAGGTTTGATGCTGGCGCCGCAGGCTCGGCTCTTGCCATACTTCTCAGGAGCACACTCGACCCCAGGCAAGTGCGATCCGATGCTGTCAGCCGAAAGCCCATCGAGGACGCACCGGACGCAAGCACAGTAAGACCAAAGCAGCTGAAGCGTCGTGACAGCATCAGTGGTTCCAAGTGACTGAGATTCAGTGCTGGAAGCACTAAGCCCGGACGACAAACGCTATGAGCAAGCATAGGCAAGCCCAAATAGCCAAGACTAGCTACTGACAGCAGGGACACGGATCCAATCCGCTCTAGACCGTGCAAGCTGTACGTCAGGCCGACGCGACCAGGTTGCTGAGGCAACACCAAGGAATCAAGCTGTGCGAACTGCAAAACCGACGTTGTAAAGCCGGTGTGAGCAAGCGAATGCAAAGGTGGGAAGGACCCTGGAGTTGCCGATGCTACAGCAGGCGGCGAAAAGCAACTGCCAAGACGAGCGATGCCCAACGCAGATGAGGATGAGCTTGTCCAAGAAGAGCTGTGCAAGAACATGGATGACCCAGGCTTGGAAAACCCGAGAAGCACTGGAGAGAAGCCTGCATTTGAGAGGCTTTGCATAAGGAGTGTCGGCCCACAGGTTGCGTAATCAAGAAGCAAAAGTTGACTACCCAGGCGAGAAGCGTCAAGGGCCAGAGTGAAGCTGCCTACTTGCCCTGGACTACGCAAGAGCAGGCAAGATCCAATCCGTGCATGATTCAGGACTGGCGCGCAGCTGTCCAGGTACGAAGATGACCGAAGAGAAGGCGGAACGCCCAGGTCTGCCAAGGCCACAACAAACAGCAAGGACACGGGGCCCATTCTGGCCAGGCCGGTCACGGACACGATAAGGTCTAGGTATGCCAAAGTGCGTGCCGACAAGAAAGGGTCCGGCTGAGAGAAGCCCAAGATCAGAGCCTTTAAGCCCATCTTAGCAAGAGATCGAAGCAAAGGTGGCGGGCCCAAACGGACGCCGTCCACCACCGGGAGGGCAAAGACGGAGCCGACGCGAGCAATGCCGAAACACGACACCGGCATTCCCATTCGAGCAGGCTCATGCAAAACCAGTGACACATCTGCATGCCCAGGATCCAAGATTGACAGCAGTGCATCACATCAAGCGAAGCTTCGCGAAAGCACTGGCAAGTCCACTCTTGAACAGCTCGGCACGACTGGCGGGGAGTCGAGTCTTGCAAGGCCATTCAAGCTCGCAATCAAGCCCAAGCGCGTAGGAGTTTGCACGGAAGGAAATGGCTCCAGACGCAAGGAGTCGAGGGCCGATACCGCCAGTCCAACCCTGGCCGAGGATCGTGGAGATGAGGAAGAATCGAGTTGCGACACGCCTGCTGCTGGCAAAGAGGATACCAAACCAGCTCGGCTGCAACCCGCAACTGAAGCGGTCGACCCTGACTTCGCGGAGTTTTGAAGCGACAAGGAAGACCCGAGATGTGAAGACTGCAGAGCGGACGCACTTAATCCCAGTCTCCCGAGGCTTTGCGAAAATGAGGTGCTCTCGAAGTTTAAGGAACCAGGGGCCGAGGCCGCTGCGCCCAGTCTTGCAGGAGACCGCGGCAAAAAGGAAGAGCCTGGAGTGCTGAAGCTGCAAACTGAGAGAGGGAAGATGAAGCCTGCACGACTCAAACCAGACAAAGATGCTGTAAATCCACAGCGGAAGGGTGACCGCATTGGAAGAGGAGTGCCCGAATGCCCGCAATTCAGTGCCGAGAGTGCGCTGCCCTGCCTTGCGAGTTTTTGGACGAACAAGATTGACCCAACATTCACCAGATCGGGAATTAAAAATGCCGAGCCGGGCCTTGCAAGCGCTTTCAAGAACATGGAAGCATCGGGAGTGCACGCATCAAGAACAAGGAGAGAGAAGACGAGCTCTGTCCAGGACAGTCCCACCGACAGCGCCAAAGACTCTGTCTTCGCGAGGCAGTGCGTCAACAAGAGTGGTCCTAATCGTGCAAAGCCCAAGACGGGAGTCGCAGGTCCTGGCTGGGCGGGCGAGTGCAGGAGCATGGAAAATCCGATGCACACATGGTCAGCGACAAACGGAGAGAAAACAGGGCCTGCGCAGGCAATGCCAGAGGTAGAAGCCAAGGCACCCAGGCGAGCCCAACTCCGAACAAGTACAGGCGAATCAGAGTGAGTGCTTCTAGGAAGCAAAGCGATTACTCCAAGACGCGCGTGTGATCTCAACGGCAAAAACAAGCCCAAACTCACATGGTCCGGAATGGATAATTGCAAGTCAAGTCTTGATTGGCGTGAGGCAGAAATGCATGGCCCCATCCGCATAGCTCTTGGTGATGCAATCGGGCCCGCATGCATGTAGTTCGATATTGACATTGTGAGATCGACTTGGCCGAAGCTTTTAGGTAGCAGAAACGACCCCAAACCGCTCGCGTCGACAGCTGGCAGCACGAATACTGAGCCTGTGCAACTTGGACCCGGTGCAAGAGCAAGGGAGCCAGCTCTCACAAAGCTTTGGGCCGACACCGCAAAATCTGCTCCCGTGAAATCCAGGGCCAACACGATCACATCCGGTCTGGCAATTGAACGCAGCAGCAGAGGTGTCTCGGGATGCAGAAAGTCTACCACTGGAAGTGCGAAAGCCAAGCCCGGTCGGGACAAGCCAGCCGCAGAAATCGCTACGTCTGCCTGGCCCATAGACCGCAGGGGCAGCGACGACCCTGATTCGGCAAAACGAAGTATCGAACATGCTGAGCCAGCTTGGGCAAGACTTCGAAGGGGCGCGGAAAGTCCAGGGTGTGCGCAGTTAGGCACCGATGGGCTTGATCCGAATCGCGCAGCACGCGAGGCAGACAGGGGAGAGCCACCGCACATAGACCTCCTGGCAGACATCATCAAGTCAGGGTGAAGGAAATCCAACAGTGAGGCTGCCAACTCCGGGCAATGGTAGCTTCGCAGGGGAGGCAAGAACTCCATGTGTGCGAGGCCTGGAGCGAGTGCTGTCGTTTCTGCGCATGCAGAAGATCGTGGAAACAGCAAGGAGTCAAGGTGTATGGTGCTGCACACCGATGACAAGAACACGGAACCAAGCCTCGTCAAGCCGCACGCCAACGCCGTGCTGTCTGTTTGCGCAGGGCCACGAGGCAGCGGTAGGCTGCCCATTCTGCTATGGCTTGGAACTGGCGATACGGAGTCCGATCGGCCAAGAGACCGTAGCAACAGCAATGAAGCGAAACGGTTGCTAGCCAAGACAAGCGAAGGCAATCCCGGCCTGCCTGGAAACACACTCGACAAGAACAGACCTGGCTATGCAGAACCCTGCGAGGTTAACGACAGGCCCGTCTCAAAACAGCCCAACACAGGAAGGAACGGTTCTAGCTTTGCCGGGCTCTTAGGCAGCGGTGAAGATCCAGCGTGCATCCACTCGGTAGCCGGTAGGGAGAACACAAAGCCATAACGTCCACAACCCGAGGCCGACAAGATTTTCTCAAGATGTGCAAGACTTCTCAGAAACATCAAGGAGTCTAAATGCGCGAGGCCGAGGACGAAAAGTACTAGCTCTGGCTGCACGAAAGATCTCAGAGGCAGGGCGAAGTCGAGTGTCGACATCTCAATTGTTGGCAAAGAGAAGCAAAATCCAAGCCACGACAAGCCAAGTACGGGCACGGAGACCTCCGTATTCACTGAGTTTTGAAGAGGCATAACTACGGCCGAATGAACAGGGCCCGCCGTAAGCACCATTGAGTCGGATCGGCTGAAGGATCTGGCCAAGAATGGCAGCTCCAAATGCGCGAAGTTGGATGCAAGTAGTGTAACTCCCATCCGTGAGCATCTGATGACAGAGAGTGCAGAGCCTGCATGCGCAAAGCTCCTTAAAAGCATTGGGAGATCTGGAGTTGCAAACTGCATCACCGGCACAGCCAGGTTCAGTCGTGCGGTGCACCTCAGTGGAAGGGAGAGTTCGGGCCCGGCGACACCCAGCGGAAGAGCAGGAACTCCCGCTTGTGCAGACGCTTTCGGGGACGAAGCTGGCCCCGGTTGAGCCGAGGCTACCACAAAGAGCGGGAAAACAGAGCCTGAGCATGACAATCCAAGCGGTGACATTGCGAAACCAGCTCAAGAGAAGCCCTGTGAAGAAGGCAATGAACCCAGTTTCATAGTATGAGGCACTGATACAGAACTTGCCGATTGAGTGAGAGAACGAAGTGACAGAACAGCATCCGAGTTCGCGATGCTCGTTGCAAGCACCGCCAAGTCCAGTCGAGCCACTCCTGCAGCGGTTGATGTAAGGCCCGCACGCGCCATCGACCGCAGAGCTGCAGTGGATCCCGGATGCGCGTGTTTCGACACGGGCACAGTTGAGTCGATGCGTGCCCAAGAGCGCAGCAGTGGAGACAAACCGGTGTTGGCCAGTTCTAGGACAAGCACACACAGCGCTGCGTGGGACATGCTTCTAAGAGAAAGCGGGAAGTCCAGGCGCACGGCATCGACCACACTCAGCAAGGACACTGGTTCGACACAAGCAAAACCAGCAAGCAACACAGGGATGTCCACTTGGCTGAATTGGTGCAAAGGCGACGTGGAATCGACTTTAGCAGGATCTGATGCCGGCGACGCTGACTCAAGGCACAGGCAGCTCCTCAAGGGCAAGAAGAAGCCTGACTGTAAGAAGTCCACCACAAAGAGGGCGAGTCCAGTCCTTGCAAAGGACTGCGAGGGCAACGCAGATCCCGGTCCTGCTCCATATAGCACGAGAACAGAGACTCCCAGCCGGGCCCGGCTTCGTAGAAACGAGAAAAACCCTGTGCCAAGATTCTCCGAAACGGACAGAAACAGACCAAGCCTTGAGAGGCTCAATACCGAGAGACTGCTGGCAAGTCGTGAAGAGCCTTGCGACGACAAGAGGACGCCCAGCCGTCCAGAGCCCAATGCTGTCAGCACAGCTTCCAAGCAAGAGCAACTTCGCAGAAATGCAGAGACTTCCAGGCCGGCCCGATTCAGGACAGAGGGCATCAGCCCAGAGCAAGTGTTGCCAGACACTGGAGCAGAGCTGCCACCCCGTGCTGAAGACCTTAAGAGCAAAGGCGAGTCGAGCTTTGCAAGGTTCAAAACTGAAGCGACCGAGCCACAGCAGGCGAACGTGTGAAGAAGCATCGAGCTACCTAGGCGGGCACTGTGCAGAGCAAGCAAGGCGAAGCCTGGCCGTGACATGCCTGTTGCCAACACCGCCGAGTCCGGCCAACTAAAGCTTCGCGGAGGTGGGCTGGAGTCCGACTTCGCAAGCCCACACACAGACGACGCAGGGCTTGCTTGAACGAGACTCCGCGACAGCGACAAGGGCCCAAGATGCGAGCTCCCCGAAGGCAACAGTGCGGAACCCGCACGAGACAATCCACACGCCACAACCGCTGTGTCCAGCTGATTAAACTGTCTCAGAAGCACCAAGAAGCCCAGATGAGCAAACTTGAGCGCCGAAAGCGAAAAGGCTTGACACACAAGCGACTGCAGAGGCAAGCTTGGGCCAGGATGAGCAAAGCCTGGGGCTGGCAGAGTAGGCTCTACACTCGACGCTTTGAATGCAAGCAGCATGAGGTCTGTTCAATTCGATTCCCGGAGCGAAGGCAAGAGTCCAGGATTCAAGAGGTCCGGAGCGAACGACGTTGACTCCAAGCGTGCATAGCTTTGAAGAGATGAGACTGGGCCGAGATGCCCACTGTCTGAGGCCAGAGGAGGTGCTCCTGGACGGCTGCAACCTAGAGCAGAGGGAATGCTCCCTGTTCTTGCGAGAGTCCGCAAAGGCGGAGAAGGTTCTGGCTCCAGCATGTCGGGTGTTGAAGCCACGGGATCTAGGTATGCAAAGCTCTTCGCAGACGAAGCCAGATCAAAGAAGACCTTGTTCAGAACGGACACAGAGCTCGGCCCAGAGCTGAACTTCCCAGAAGCTGGCAAGACGGAGTCGGTACAAACGAGCATCCGTGCAGAAAGCGAAGGGCCCAAGGTCAAGAGGTCGGAAACAAGTATGAGAAAACCGAGGTGAGCGAAGGACCTCAGAAACAGCGCAGGGTCATACTGCATGTAGTCCAGAACAGGCGAGAAGAAGTCCATGTCTACCGTCCGCAAGGCAGGGAAAGACAAGCTTGAGCGGGTCAAGCTTTGGCATGAAACAGGGAAGGCTGGGTTCAACAAGTCTAGGACTGGAAGTGCGGCTTCTGTGCGTCCTGCGGACTGCAGAGACAGTGACAACTCTAATTTCGCAGAAGCAACGACCAAGAGCAAGGAAATGCTTCCCGGTCTCGACAATCCAAATGCCAGCATGCCACTTCCCGGCTGGTAAGGGCTTTGCGGCAACAGCGAGGTATCGAGTTGAAGCATGTCCATGACAAGCGCTACCGTGTCTGGCTGAGCGGGCGACCTTGGCGATAAGGAGGGCCCTGGATCAGCAAAGTCCAAGACAGGCGACAGAGGAGCAGGCCTGAACATGCCCATGACAGGCAGAATACTCGACAGCCGGCTATGTGATCTGAGTGGGACTGTGAGTCCCGGCCGCAAGCAATCCGAGATAGGCGGGGCTGGCTCGCAACGTGAGGAGCTTTGGGTGAAGAGTGTGAATCCCAAATTAGCGTAGTCCAGCACAGACGAAAGGAGCTCCGAGCAAGCAACTCCGACGGTCCTTGGTCTGGACTCACTGACATAAAGTAACAAAAGCACATCCTTTGCTAAACCCTGTGCGATACTCTTGACATGACAGCTGGGCTTTGCCAAGGTGAAGCCCAGAGTCTTGAGAACTGCCCAGGACATGGAGCTAAGATTACAATTTCGGGCTCCGGGTCAATTGATTCTCGCTTCCTCGATTGGCTTGTGTACGGCGCATTGAGACCTAAAAATAAAACCCCAGGCTCCGGCGAAAAACATGTACAATCGTCCGTGTATTATTTGCGTGCTCGCGAAAGTTCGGCGCGGGATCTGGATCCAGGAGTCACTGTTGGTCCTACAACCAGTCTTGCTGGAAGCCACGAAATTTGCCTTTCTCTTTCTACCGGAATGTCTCTGAATCCGTCCAACAAAACTGGGCTCCGAAGCTATGACAGTGTCAGTGTCTCGCTTCTGCATTCCAAGCTTGGGAAGCCTCGTCCTCGTCCTCGCCGCTGAAGTGTCGCGCTTTACACCGGCTCTCGCTATGTTTGGCCCCCGATAGTTCATTCTTGAAAAAAGCGTCAAGGACTCGACCAGGACCAACTGAAAAGCTCTTGCAGCTGGGAGGCGGCACCGCGAATCCCGAGCAGCTCACGGACCGCGAAGATGACGATGGGCCCAGCCGTAAGACATCCATCACAGAAGCCTCATATCCAAAAGCAGAAGCTACCTGTAGCAGCTAGCCATCCCTTTTGAGAGCGCCTGGGTTAAGACAAGCTGCCGCGACATCCGCTCGAACAGGGCTTCGGAGGGGCAAAGCCGATTCTGGATTGCTGAAGCTGGCGACCTCAGATGGGTAGGGCGGTGCTCTACGCAAACTTTGCGGCTGATCATCGTCCTTGCCGAGCCGATCTTCTGATCATCCAAGGGGCCAGCAGCGAGAAGACTGGGCCTCAACGGGATAATGATCGTCTGACCGTACCCAGTGCCCCCAACAAGCCCTGTGCGCTGCAACTGGTTTCATGGGATGAGTACTGAGCCAGGCAACAGCACTCGTGCAAGCAAACAGCAATGCATCCATGGCACCCGGACGTGACATTCCAAACGACGGAGCTGTTGCTTCAACGCGCGAAACGCTTCGTGGAGGAAGCGCAGAGTCTGGTTTCAGGAGGTCCTGCTGCCAGTCACATGTCTCAGTGGCATGGACGTTTTGTAACTGCCCTGTGATATTGCTGCAGACTGCCCCGTGATGCTTAACAAGAGATTTCTATCTGTAGCCGCTCTGGTCTGGCAGGCAATGCTGTGCGGCTGTCGAATACAAGAGGAATTGAAGTCACTGCCATAGCGATCGTGGCCTAGGTGCCCCTGAGATCTGTGGAATCTAGATCGCGATGCTACACTGGACCCAAAAGCAGCCGTCCAGAACCAGCAGCAGCAGCTCTGGCTGAGAGGAACTTCTTGCCGGCACCCTCAGCATTGAGAACAGGTGAGCACCTCTATCGCCATTCTGGAGTATCGCAGTACGACCATCGCTCTTGCCCCCTAAACTCGATTTGACTGAACCAGACCCTTGCTGTGATTCTATGAGGCGAGCAGCAGCAAACCGAAGCTGGCGAAGTCTGGCACAGGAAGTAGTGAATCGATGTCGCTCACCTGCATAAACGGGAGTATAAGTGTAGTATATAGGACATGGGATCCCCATGGATCCCCAATATGTCCCGTTGATGAGCTCTTTCATGCTCTTGTAACAAACGTTCTCCGCTCCCCTCTGGGGCGCTGGCCCCGCAAACCGGAGCAGCCACGCCCAACCGAGCAGGGGCCCGCAGTGGGAGCGTGGAGCCCAGGCGCAAAGGGTCGGGTGCCTTGGAGCGGATGCGATGGAATACCAGCTAGCAGAACTTCGGGTTTCGCACTCATTCTACCCAGTCTTCCGGGCGCCCTTCCACTTCTGCCGAGTGGCCGGCAGAGCCGAGCCAAGGCAGGCAAGGCTCCGCATCGGAGCCAGGAAGCCGCAGAGAGCAGAGTCGGGAGCGAACAGCAAGGGACCCAACCTGCCCACGCCGAAGACCAACGGCACAGGACCCGACGTAGCATGGCTTTGCAAGGACACGGCTGCGCCAGCCTTGCAATGGTTTAGGGCTGGCAGGGGCAGACCCGATCGACCCGAGCTTCTCAGAAGCAGAACAAGGTCCGAGCAGACAAAGTCCAAAACGGGCAATGGGGAGCCAGAGCAAGCCTGTGAGCAGGCCGATATGACGGGGCCGGCTTGTCCAGAGCTTCTCGGAAACGGAAGGGATCCTGTGTGTGAAAAGCCCAGTGCCGAAACGACTACTCCCGCTTGTGCTAGGCTTCGGGTTGGCAGAAACAACCCGAGTCTGCTAGTGCTCACAACCAGCAGAAAGGAGACGAATTCAAGGCGCGACGAACCGACGAGCAACACTGCGCTGTCAAAGCGATGGAAGCTTCGGGGGAGTAGCAATGGCTCCAGGCGCAAGAGGTCCAGCGCAAGCGCAGATGAGGCAATCTTCCCGGAGCTTCGCAGCAACGAAGCTGAGCCAGATTGGATGCAACCCGGAGCAAACACACAAGATGCTGGCCTTGACGAGCTCTGCAGCGACAAGAACAGTCCGAGCCATGCAGTCTCGATGGCGGACAAAACGAAAACCGAGCCCAAGCAAGACATTCCGAAGGCTGGAGCTGCAATTTCGGGTCGTGCATGAGACTGCAAGAACAAGGTAAGATCCACTTTTGCAAGATCCATCGTTGGAGCTACTGATTCACCGCAAGAGAAGCTCCGAAGAAACGTGAGGAGCTCTGACTGAGCGACTTCCACGAGGGAGAGAGAGAAGACGCTTCCTGCACGAGACAAGCCAAGCATCGCTGAAGGGCTCCCCATTTGCGCAAAGGACCGGACCGGCAAGAACAGTCCTGGCTGAAGAAGGTCGAGGACTGAAAGTGCTGCTTCGGATCATACCGAACTCCTTGACGGCAGCATGAAGGTCATGTGAGCAGGGCCCGGCACAGGCAAAGAAGATCCCGGCTTGGACAAGCCCGGCATGGAAGAAGAGAAGTCAAGACAGCTGAAGCTGTGCAGCGGCGAGGACATGCCAACCGTCGTAGAATCCGTCGTAAAAAGCATACTGCCTGCGCATGAGAAGCTGTGCAAGAACGGGAGAGAGCCGGGACGCGCAGACTCGACCAGCGGCAAAGAGAAGAGAGATCCAAGCCTCGCCAGGCCAGACAGAGGAACTATCAGGCCCACCTAAGCCAAGGATCGCGAAAAGAGCGAGAAGCCCAAGGTCAAGAAGTCCAACAAGGAAGGCAAGAAGTCGATCCTTACAGAGCTGCGCAGCAGCAGCAGAGACTCCAGATGTGTAGGGTCTGGTGCCAACAGGAGCACGCCAGGTCTGGAGAGGCCGAAAATGGGCAAAATGGAGCCCGAGCGTTGCGCAGCCCTCGAAGGAAGGGCCAAGCCGACATGACCATATCTCGGAGCCGGGGCTGGCAGATCGAATCGCGCCGAAGATCTGAGAGACATGAATGCACCGAGATGGGAGAAGCTCACGACCAACAGCGAGAACACGAATCCCGGGCGAGCCAACCCGAGCAGCAAGCAAGTCGGCCCCATGCGACAGAGTTCTCTTGGAAACATGAAGAAGCCCAGGTGCATAAAATCAAGCGCAGATGGCGGGAAGCCCAAGCATGCGATAGTCCTCGCGGTCGACGAGCTTTCGAGGTTTGTGCTTGCCACGACTGAAAGCAAGGAGACGCTGCCAAGCCTTGACAATCCAAAGGCAAGTGCCAAGCTCTCAGAGCGAGATGAGCAACGCGAAGGCGTGAAGCTTCCCAAATGCAAGGAATCAAGCACAAGCAGCACCAAGCCAGGTCTGACGACGCTGTGAAGGAACGAAGGGGCACCAGAAGAAGAGAAGTCCGAGACAGGGGTTGGGACTTCTAAGAGGGACTTGCCACATAAGGACAAGCTTAATCCCAAGCATACGAGGCTCTTTGATGCTGAGGAGCTGCCTGAGTCAAGAGAATCCAGCACAAACGGGACTGGGCTCACGTGAGAAGGACTTCGAATCATCAGAGCTGGTCCCAGTGTGGCCGAGCTCGCGACAGGTGGTGAGGACACGCTTCCAAAACAGCTCAAGCCCGACATCAACGGAGTCAAGCCAGCCCTGGCTTTGCATCGCAGAGGAATGAAAGAGCCCGTGCTCAGCAGATCCGGTATTGATAGCGGGCTGCCGGATCGAGCAAGGCTGCGAATTGGTAGCGGTGGATCTGGAAAGCTGCTGCTCGCAACGAACAGCGGGAAGACAGGGCCCGAACAACTGAGGCCGACCGGAAATACCAACGCGTCCAGGCAGTAGACACTTTGCAGAAGCATCAGGAGGTCTGAATGCAATAAGTCGGGTGCTAAGAAGGAAAAGTCGTGACGGCAAGGGCTTCGAAGTGACGGAAAGGAGCCTGAGGCCAACATGTCCGAGGTTGATGTAGCTGCACCAGCTCAGCTCGTGCTCCGAACTGGTAACACTGGACCCAGTTCTACTGCATCAATGGCAGGCAGCGGGGACACGGGTCCACAGCGGGTCAATCCCCAAGCGAGCAGGGTCGCTCCCAAGCGAGCATACGATCGAGGAGGCAACGAGGCTTCGAAACTGGATTCTTCAAGCAGAAGCAGGACGGAACCCAAACAAGCAAGTGACTGCAAGAAGGGAGGCAAGGCTGAGTGCACTCTCCCCAATACAAAGAGTGCGCTTCCTGAGCGAGCTGCGCCCGGCAAGAAAGGAAATGGCTCCGCTCGGGCGCCGGATTGAAGCAGCAGCGGCAGCCCCGATCGCAAGGAGTCCAAAGCTGACGATGCCGGAGCAACGTGACCCAAGCTTTGCACGGACGGAGAGCTTCCCAGCAGAGCGCTAGCCACCACAGGCAAGCTGAAAACAGGTCCAGCGCAGCTCGATCCCAGCATAGATGCTGGGGGCCCAAGTTGAGCAAGGCTACGCATAAGAAGCGGAGCCTCCGCATGGTAGAAGTCCCATGCAGAGGTTGCGGCTTCCACACAGCCATGCGATCTCAAAGGCGGGGAGAAGCCAAAATGGGCTAAATCCGGTGCAATCGGGTTTGCATCCAACCAGCTGGGGCTCTGCATCAGCAGTGTGAAAGCGACTTGCACATAATCTGCCGCAGGCAGGACCGGCTCGGGCCGCACGACGCTTTGTAGAGACGGAAGCAGGTCCAAGCAAGACGAGGCCACTACAGAAGGAGAGAAGAGGAAGTCCAAGCGGCTCAGGCCTGCTACGGGTGCGGAAAGCTCGGGTCTGCTAAAGCTTTGTGGAAGCACAGATGACCCCATGTGCAAAGAGTCCGAGGTAGACAGAAACACACCGACTCTGGCAGAGTTTCGCAAGAACATCACCAGGCCGGCTGCTATGTAGTCCGGCAAGAGCAGAAGCGAGCCCGCCCTTACCATGCCAGAGACGGGTAGCACCAAACCCACTCTGGCGGAGCTCTTCGATGGCAGCAGTGGGCTTGTGTGCCCGGGGTCCGGGACGAACAGGATTGATGCAGGATGGTTAAATGATCTCAGAGGCAGCGAGAGCCCGAGGAGTAAAGGGTCCAAGACAGACAGCAAAGCCCCAGGTCGCGCGGCTCCCATCACCAGCGAAGTGAAGTCTAGGCGAGCCGATTGCTTCGGAGATGGGGACGGCTCCAAACGCGTCGCACAAAGTGCGAAGACTGCAGAGCTTGATCTTAACACACTTCGTGAAAATGGCTGGAAGCCCAGGTGGCCGGATTCAATCACTAGGAGCGAGAACACGAACCCCGAATGAGAGATCCCTGGCAGAAATGTCAAGGGTCCAACTTGCGAAAACGAGTGCATCGGCGTTGCCAGGTCCAAGTGAGTAGAGCTCAACGCAAACAGAGCAAGATCCAAGCATGCAGGGCTTTGCGAAAACGTGAGCAGCCCCAAGTTGATGAGATCCAATGCAACGAGAGATGATCCCGACCTTGCCACGGTTAGGAGCAGCAGTGCACTACCCGAGCAGCCAAGGCCGTGCAAGGAAGTCAAGGGCGCAGACTGTACGGGGTCTGGCACCAACGAAGACGCTTCCAGACGAGACAGCCCACATGCAGGAAATGTGAGAGCCAGTCGACCGTAGTTTCTCAAGAGCGGAATCAGTCCCAGGAATGCAGATTCCATAGTTGGCGCGGTGCTGCCCAAGCAAGCACGGCTGTGCAACGACATCATCAGCCCAACTTCCGCAGGATCTGAAGCCAACAAAGTGAGGCCAAACCCTGCAACGCTCAGAATCGGAAGAAGTGAACTTGGCCGCGAAGGGCTTCGCAAAAGTATCAAGACATCAGGATGCAAAGAGTCCGGGGCTGGTGCTACCGGACCGGTGTGAGCCCGAGCTTGAAGTGGCATCGACAGTCCTGGGTGCAAAAGGTCCAGTACAAACAGGCTAGAATGAAAGCGTGTCATGCCCAGGACAAGCACGGCCAAACCCAGTTGCGCAGATCTTCTCACAGGGACTGCCGGATCGATTTTAATGAAATCAACGAGCGACGGCGCCAGGCCGAGGTGTGCTGAGCTTCGCAGCACTGAAGGCGGGCTTGTGTGCACGAGATCCGCAGCCGAAAGGACAGCTTCGAGATGCACGGAGCTCCGGGGAGGCAGTGCAAGCCCCAAAGCAACAATATCTGACGCCGGCAGCAGAAGGCTGAACCGAGACATACCCGTCATCGAAGCGGCTAGGCCCGTTCGGGCAGGACTTTGCAGAAGCGTCAGCAAGTCCATATGCAAGAAGTCCAGCACGGGCAGCAAGATGCCCAAACAAGCCGAGGAATGCAGAGGCGACACGGAGCCGAAGTTCGCCCAATCCGGGACCGGCAAGAAAGGCTCGAACCTACTCCGGCTAAGAACCGATAAGTTCTCATGGAGAAACCCACTTGGAAATTTAATATCTCCAGATGCTGATGAGAGAGATCCCGTTCAGGTAAAGCCCCGCATCGGCAGGGTCAGCTCAATGTGCAAAAAGTCTAGGGCAGACGGCAAAGGCGCCATCCTGGCAGCACTTCTTGCAAGAGTAGACGACTCCGCTTGCGCGAAGTCGAGAAGCGGTAGGCTCAAGCCCAACTGCAGTTTGCCCATGACAAGGAGAAAGGATCCGGGCCAACCAAAGCTGCGAAGGGCCGAAGATGCAGCTGAATGGGCGAGGTCCAAGACAAAGGTCAGCAGCTCTGAACACAACATCCCTGCAACAGGCAACAGCAAGCTAATCCGCCCAAGGTGGTGTAGAGGAGGCGTGGGGCCCAGGTGAAGTAAGTCTGGAACCGGAGCCACGAGGCCCAGATGAGAGAGGCTTCGCATCGGAAGCATTGGCCCCAAACAACCAGGGTCCGGTGCTGCAAGTGGCGATCCGGGACGAACTCCTCCCAGAACTGGCAAAGAAAATGATAGTCGCAAAGATGAGTGTAACAGCGTTGATGGACCTAGACGCAGGAAGTCCAGAGGAAACGCAGCAAGCCCCACACGACAAGGGCTTCGAATCAGCATGAAGCTTTCCAGTTGCAGCATGTCGAGGATGGGCACTGCCTGAGTGCAAAGTGCGAACGAACTCTGAACCCTTCTCTGTGGCTTGGCAAGACCTATGCAGAGAGAGACAGAGAGAGAGAGAGGACGAGAGACAGAGACCGACAAAGAGAAAGCGAGAGAGACAGAGAGACACAGACAAACAGGCAGGCAAGCAATTATATTCTATTCTATCTATATCGTCTATTTACTATACATCTATTTATATACAACTATATAACTATACCTGAAATAGGACATGTGATATTAAGCAGGCAGACTAAAAGAACGTCATGAAACTCGCAGTTTCCCGCCGACTTGCCAAGATACGAGCTCCACTCACGCCAAACTTCGAGGCAGCGTTGGTAATCCCGGAGCAACGAAATCCTCGCTGGGCTGCGACTGCAGCAGGCGTTGCCGTGTTGAGGACTGCTGAGACATGTTCAATGCTTGTCTCAAGCTGATCGTATGTATGTATGTATGTATGTATGTATGTATGTATGCATGCATTGTGCACAGCTAAAGGACGGCAGTGTGTCCGATACGCACCTATGCGTGTTAAAGCATCCACCAGTCATCCTTTCCGACCGACCGACCGACCGACCGCCAGAAACAAACACACACACACGCACGCACCAACAAGTTCACACCTACACTTTCACTTGCTGTCAATGTACAGGTACCATAGGATTACATGTGCTTATCTGGGACCTGTTCATGCGATGAAGTGTGCTAAGATGTGCTAACTGATATCACTGGAAGCACAAGGGGGCTACGCTTCCGCACTACGTAAGACTTTGACAGGAGGGATCCCGAGTGCCGGGCCAGGGCCAAGAGCGGCGCCCCAAGGCAAGCGGCTCCAGGCGCTGGCATCAAAGCTTCTGCCCTGGGGCCACTCCCAGATTCTGTGGGGTTTAGGGTTTAGGGGTTTAGGGTTTAGGGTTTAGGCTTTAGGGCCGGGTTTAGATGCAGAATGCACACTGGCTCTTTGAGATGCTCATCTCGCCTTCCAAAGCTCCTCGAAGGCAGCGGCGAAAAGATGTTGGCGAGGTCCAGGGCCAAGGCAGAGGCGCCAGCACGAACGGGGCTCTGGGGCAACATGCTGAAGCCTGGATCGGAGAAGTCCGGCGCCGGCAGACCTTGGATCAATAGTCATGGCGTTCCAAGTTGGGTCCAGGCAACGACAAAGAACGTGACAAAGAGAGAGAGAGAGAGAGGGACAGTGTGCACAAGCGCACACAGAGACAGACAAAGGCATGCGACTCCTGGTCTGAAAAAATTACAGCTTAGGGGCTGGATTCCAATTTGGATAAGCCGGAAAGTGGA